AACCACAAACCACAACCGGCAGCAGTGGGAGGGGGCCGGCAGCAGTAGGAGGGGGGAATTTTCGGGCGATGTCCAGCTTGTGTACGGAGCATGAAAAGGTCAGCTCTTTCTCAGCAGTTAGAATTTTACTTATTTCCTTGTTCTGAATATTCTTCTTTGGTCTGGGGGACTTGGTTTGAATCCACTTTAACCTGGGGGGGCTTTAGTTTGATTCCATCATCAGATGGTCACTCTAAGATTTCCTGCTCTCATGGAGGAGCCTTCTTCCTCCCCAGCTTTGCATCTCTGAAGGGTCTTCTCGATGACAGCTGTTCTCCATTTCTTCATGCTAAGAGGGTTTGGTGTGGTTTTTTTGTTTTGTTTTGTTTTTTTGTCTTTTTGAAGCAGGATCTCTCTATAGCCCCAGCTGTCCTGGAACTCACTATATAGACCAGGCTGGCCGTGAACTCACAGAGATCCATCGGCCTCTGCCTCCCAAGTGGTGCTGGGACTACAAGCATGCGCCACCACGCCTGGCTCTTTTCCTTTGTTTTTTTAAACAGGGTCTACTATATAGCTCAAGTTGGCCTCAAATTAATAATCCTCCTGGCTCAGCCTCCAAATGCTAGATTGTAGGCATCTAGCACCATGCCTAGTGGTAACAGTGCTTAGTGTTACCTCCATTATCCTCCTCCCTTCTTAGTTTGCTGCTCACAAAAATGAGAGATATTGTTTCCTGCTAAGCTCACACCCCATGATGCTCACAGAAGGACCAGTCTGTAACACTCAGTACCAGGTGACTACTTCCTATTTTTGAAGGTGGAGAGGGTGATGGTTGATGGTTGGTGGTGAAAAATGACTAGGGACTGACTGATATTTCTCAAGGGTAGAGTGTCTAATTGGTGTTTTAGCCCTATAAGTCCTAGGCAGTCATATAATTAAAGATGCCCTGACACCTCAGATGACAATGATACAAATTTTCCCTTTAATCGCTTCCCATGTGTTAAGATGGAAAATGCTAAAGTGTAGTGCCCCTTTGTCTAAATCCACAGATACTGGGGAAACAAGTCATTAACTAGAAATGCGTAGATCAAAGGAAGTTCCTTTTTCTGGTAGCTAAGTGTCCTCAGGGGCCAATGAAGTCACTCTTAGGTTATGTTGTGGCACATTTGGAGAACATTCCATTCATATTTCTACTGAACCCTATGTGCTGAAGACAGCACAGAGTGGAAATACTACAACTCTTATTTTTTTTTCTGGAAAGAAATGCACTTCTCAGGTATAGCTAAAGAGATGTCACACTAAAGCTAGGCACGGTAGCATACACCTTTAATCCCACCATGGGGGAGGCAGAGGCAGGTGATGAATCTGAGTTCAAGGACAGCCTGGTTGTTCATAAGCAAGTTTCAGCCCAGCCAGGGCTACATAGAGAGACCCTATCTCAGAAACCAAAATGGGGCACAGTGACACATGTTTGTAATACCAGCACTGGGGAGACAGAGGCAGGCTGGGTTTGAAGCCACCCTGGGATGCTTAGCTATACCATCTTAAAAACAAAACCTAAATACAAGTAATGAACACGACACAATGAAATTTTAGTGTGAAGAATATTTTGCATTGTTTTATGCTATAGATCATATAACCTTGGATTTCTTGGAAGGCGGCTATGCTTACCATTCTACAACCAACGCTTCCCACCTTGGATTTCTTTATAGGTGCCAAAGAACGTTCTGAGATCTATGAAGCATTTGAAAACATATATCCTATTCTAAAAGGTTTTAAAAAAGCCTGAGTAGATCACTCAACTTCTGGAATAGTGGTTTGGATATTCGTGTTAGCCCAGCAGAGAAAGAGCTGGATCCTTCTACACATAATTGTAGACATCAAGTATGCTTGGACTTACAAGGTGATTTTGTGTGAATACCCATGCCTAAGAAACATAGAAAAATTTCTTACTTGAAATGACTCTTACATTATTAAAAAAAAAAAAAACTACTATAGAACAAGTCAGCTTATTTCAGGATTTAATATTTCAGGCCTTGTTAGAATAATGAGGCATAAACATTCAATGCTTGCTTGTTAAATATGTAATACATTAAACCGTTCTCTGAAAATACATAGTATTATATAGAAATTTCAAGCAACTGCATAAACTAGATATTATCTGTAATATCACATCTGTTGGTAAAAATGCACATCTAATTTTCCTGCCTTTTGAAGTATTAAGGAGATAGGATCACAATTGTGAGGTAAATGGGCTCTGTGAATGTTGCCACAGGATTGCCAAGATGTCTGTAACCTTAAAATCCTTTGTTTGAAATGAATATAGAAAATTGTTTTTCTTTAAAATCGTAAACTTTCAGAAATCATTCAAGTTTAGGGAAAGCTATTTTGAAAATGATCTAAGGAATTTTGGGCTTTTGATGACTTTAATTTTTTTTTTTTTTTCTTTTTGAGGCAGGGTCTCCCTATAGCTGCAGGTGGCTTGGATTCACTATGGAGACCAGGCTGGGCTCAAACTCAGAGATCTGCCTGCCTCTGCCTCCCGGGTGCTGGGATTAAAGGTGGGTGCCACCATGCCCTGCTTAATTTTTTTAATTTTTAAAAATTTATGTTTTCTGCCTATATGTATGTAAGTGCACCCATGTTGTGCAATGCCTGTGGAAGTCAGCAGAGGGCATTGGATTCTCCTGTAACTGGAGTTACAGGTGGTTGTTAGCTGCCATGTGTGGCTGGTACTCAAATGGGATCCTCTGCAAAAGCAGCCAGTGCTCTTAACCGATAAGCCATCTCTCCAGTCCCTTAATTACTTTCTAATCCTATGTGATGGTATTTAAAGACTGGGTAGGGGTAAGGGTGGAAGGGCAAATGGCTCAGACCAAAGGTCTAACTAGGTGTTAGTCACCAGCATTTGACCAGGATGGGAGGATTGACAGGAAGGGGGCTGATGTGACCCATGTGACTCTAGGCCCTACATGGCTAGTGACTGTCCTAAGTTAGACTTCAGTCTCAAGGTGGAGGATGTGGAGGCAGCCCTGAGTGCTGGCAGGGGGGATGGGACTTGGGGAGAAATCCCAGCTGGTGAGAATCCAGGGCTGTCATCCAAGGACAGCCAGCTGAACAGCTGAAGCGATTCTTGAGAATCTGCAGTCAAAATGATCGGACCTACAGCCCCACTGCTCTTCCCTCTACGGTTCAGAGGCATATCCAAACAGTCTCAGAAGAAAAAGGAAATCCTAACATCTACGTAGTTCAAATTCTCTTAGAGCGTGGCTCAGGGGTAGGGAAGGGACACGGGCTAGTTAATTAGAATCCCCCACCCCCCCGCAAGCTGGTGGTATATAACACCTGTGTAATCCATCACTCAGGTTGCTGCCCAGAAGGATGGGAAATTCCAGGGCAGGGTGAGTAATAATAGGAAGACACTATCAATTAAAATCAGTTTCATAAACATACAACTTTGATTTGCATCTTCAGTTTGGTTTTCACTTATGTGTGGCCATAGTGTTATTGCTCTTACGTCCATCATCCAGGACAAAATCAGGCACAGAGAGGTTAAACAATTTTCTCCAAATCTCACAGCTATTAAGGGGTAAGGTGAGCTAAACTTCAAGCTAGTTCCAAGAGCCAGCGCTCTCAACTTTGTTTCCCGTAGTTTGAGCCGAACCTTCAAGTATCCTTAGTGAATCAAATTCCCTTGTTCTGTTCCCATGCTTTTCCAGGGAACGCTTAGGGCCCCGTGTTACTCTTCTTTCCATAACGTTGATGCGTTAACTCGGGTTTGGCTCGGTGCCGCAGTTGCTGTTTTGTTCCGGGGACTCAACACAGACACCGACCTCGAAGGGCTCGCTGGGCTCGGCGAACCTAACCGCGGGGTGGTGGGCCCACGTCTCAGCCTCTCTGGGTCTCCGGCCTGTAGGCCCTGCCCCCGGGCTCCGGCCCCGCCCCACACCCAGGATGCACCTGGTTGAAAACAAAATCCCACGTGACTGGCCCTGCGCTCAGGCCATCATGGCGTCTCCCAGTGGGAAGGGATCCCGGGCGTCCGCGGCTTCTGGCTCCGGGCCGCTGCTGCCCCCCGGGGATCTGGTGGACTCGGTGGACGACGCCGAGGGGCTGTACGTTGCGGTCGAGCGGTGTCCACTGTGCAACACCACCCGCCGCCGGCTGACCTGCGCCAAGTGCGTCCAGAGCGGCGATTTCGTCTACTTCGACGGCCGCGACCGGGAGAGGTACGGCAGCCGCCACGGCCCTATTGTTTCATCCGCTCTGCCTGCAGCGGTCCGGCGATCGGAGGCTGGAGCCGGGGCACCCCAGTCCGGACCTCCGAGCCCAGCAAGGGTAGAGGGAGAGGAGCTGCTCTGCGCTGGCGCTTTGCTGCCAGTGGACAGGGTCGGGTGGGAGCCAGGTGAGGGAGGGTGCTGTTTCTTTGTCACCCACCTGAGAGGAGTTTGACCTCTTTGTCCTCTTGGGTACTAGGGAAAAAGGAATAGTGTCTTTCTGGAGAAATCTCCCCCTGTTGCTATGTAGAGTATTCCTACATTTGCTGTACTTCGTTCAGAAGCTTAGTTTTTGTTTTCAGATGTACGTAATTTTCTAGAGAAGTGGCCTCTAGAGAACCTAATAGGAGGGATTAGGCGCTGGTTGTCTGTCACAGGTGGACTTAGTTGTTAGATGTGTTAACTCTAATGTGTGAACGAGGACTGACTGGTTGCCTCCTCTTCCCTCCCTACCCCAAAGATGATTTTGGATCCTTAGGGATTTGGAGATGCAGTTTGGTTTTGCTTTAAAAAAATCCGACAAGGAGTTGCAAGCCCTTATTTGAAAAAAGTGAGTTTGGGAAAATGTTTTGACTTCTTTTTTTTTAAATTTTTTTGCAGTTTAAACCAAGAGCCACAGCCCCCCCCCCACCTTTAAAAAAAAATTCTGTCCTCAATGTTTTGTCTGCATGTATGTAAGTGCATTCATGAGCACAATGGTTGGGAAGGTCAGAAGAGGGTATTGGATCCCCGGGAACTGGAGTTATAGATGGTTGTTAATCACTATGTGGGTTCTGGGAACCAAACTCCAGTCCTCTGCAAGAGCAGCCAGTGCTCTTAACTGTTGAGCCCTCTCTCCAGCCCCGAACCTTGGTTTAAGATAATTGAAAAAAATGAATGTGTTTAGCTGAAAAGTCTTTGTCTCCTACTTTGTTTCAACAGTTTAGTTTCGATGATAGTGAGGTAATTTTTTGAGCAGAGAAGTTGAAGCATTCATTCATTTTTTTTTTTTTTTTTTACAACCCGGTAAGTTATTATCCCCAATTTACTATTGAGGAAACAGTAAGTGCCTTGCTCCAGGTCACACAGTAAGTATTGGGATCAGAATTAAAACCCAGACATCATGGATCCACATACCGGTGAATCTAGCTGCTAGACTATCCAACCTGTAGCTGTGGGGATGTTTTGAGCTCCTAGTATGTCTGTGATAGTGAATGGAGTTCTTTTTCTACTGAAGAGATTGGTGTAACAAAACCTTTCAAATTCTTTGCTGGGTTTCATGGATGCCCTTGATAACCAGACTAATGTCGTGATAGCTTTAAAAGTTAAACCAGTTTTATTATAAGAAAACTGGGTATGGGATGGGAATGTCTAGATGATGAAGTTTATCAGGTGTTCAGTTTTGGGTCATCTACACTTTCCTAGATTTATTCCCGTAATTTTAATATCATTTAGATGTTGAAAATTTGTGTTTCCAACCTAGGCCTCTCTCTGAAGTCCAGGACACAGCTTGCTATTCAACATCTGTATTTCTGTATTTGATTTTTTTTCTTTTCAACATCTGTATTTGATCTTTTGATAGTCATCTCTATTTTAACATGACAAACTGAACTCAGTCATCTCTGTTTTAACATGACAAACTGAACTCTTAACTTTACATTGATAAATCATTCAGAACTCATCCCAATGCAGTAAATGGCAATATCCTCATTCAGGCCAAAAAACCCCTCTTCTTATCCTCCTTAAGCCACCATGTCTAATCTTATCAACAAATCCTATCCTTCAAAATGTATTCTAACCTTAAATTTCAGCACTCAGGAAGCAGAGACAGGCAGATCTCTTGTGAGATCAAGACCACCCTGGTCTACATAGTTCCAGGCCAACTGGAGCTACAGAGAAGCCCTGTAGCTTCTGTAGCCCTATAGAGAAGTCTCAAAGCAACAACAAAAAAGTATCGTAAGTCTGATCCTTTCGTCATTATACAGTCTGATCCATCAGAGGATTATTTCTCCCTCTACCCTTACTGTTGGTGTAGTTTGCATATTACTAGCAGACCAATGTCACTCTTGTTCAGATCTTCTGATTGTTTACTCAAAGCAAAAGCAATAATCCTGTGCCAAAAAGTTCTCCATGATCTGTAATTCCTCTAACCTAACCTCTTGTTATTTTCTTCCTTACCTACTCAGCTATACCACCTTGGTTTCCTTGTGAGTTCAAGAACACTCCTGCCTCAGAGCTTATGCAGTCATACTGCCAAGAACTCTTAAAAAATCTTCATGGCTGCTTCCCCTGTTTCCTTCAGGCCCCTTCTTATACTTTACAGATTCCTTTTGACCCTTTAGCTAATGACATCATTCCTACTTAGTATACTTTGTCTTCCACAGCATTTATCGCCATCTGATAGACTCTATGAGGGAAGACACTGTTTTTACACTGTTGTTTCTTCACATAGAATAAGATTTAAGGAACTGAGTGAATCTAGCCTTTCCTCTCTTCTATTCCTGGACCACTTCTGTATCTCCCTCATCTACTAGCTACTAAAGCAGAAAGCTGGGAGTTACCTTGGACTTTGCTTTTTTTTTCTCTTACTCCTAGCATCTAAATCATCAGCCATTCTAATTCAGGCTGGCACCAAAGTATTTTATTTCTGTTTGCAATTCAGATCACCACCTGGACTTTGTAGTCTTGTGCAATCCTTTCTTTTATGCAGACATTCCCACTCCTGCCCTTGACTTCACTTAAAAAGTAAATGGGATAATGTCAGTCTGTTGTTTAAACCTTTCAGTGACGATGTACTACATTTAGAATAAAATACAGACTCTTGTCTTGGCACATGAACCTCCATGTGATTTGGCTACTGCTTACCTAATTTTTCCTGTAGGGTTTGAGTTTAAAATACAGGTTTTGGATTCATTCTGCCTTGAATCAAGTCCAAGTTCCACAACTTGCTGTATGATTTTGAAGAAGTTAACTTCTCCTATGCTTATTTCATTTTGAAAATGGTGAGATATCTCCTTCCTTTGAGTTTTTGGCCAGGGTGGCCCAAGAGACTCCCGGACAGTAGAACTGGGAAAATGAACAGCAGACCCCAATCTTTTCTAAAGGAATGTTGGCAGCTGATTGCTGCTAGATGAAGAAGAGCAGATCTTCCTAAAGCAAGGAGCTCTAGATAGGCTGACTAGACTCAGCGGATGGATTAGCACTGGGGAATGGCTGGGGGCACTGATAACACAGTGGACACTAACAGAGATGACAGAGTATATGAGCTCCAGTTGGCGGAGGGGGGGTGTGCTATTTGGAATGAGGGTATAAAGATTGTTTGGGATGATGAAATACACAAAAAAATCAATAAAAAATGAGTTATTAACTCATTTTCATGCTTAAAAAAATGGTGAGGTATCTAACTTAAGAGATTTCTAGTAGTGATTTTATAAGCACATGCTTTTAAAGTGCTTAGTGTATGGGCTGGAGTGATGGTTCAGTGATTAAGAGCACTGGCTTCTCTTGCAGAGGGTCTGGCTTTGGTTCCCAGCACCCACATGGTAGCTAACAACCATCTTGTAACTCAGTTCCAGAGAATCTGACTCCCTCTTCTGACCTCCATGGGGATTGTACAACACGGGTTCACTTACATAATGCAGGCAGTGCTCTCATACACATAGAATAAAAGATAATGAATAAAAAATTAAGTGCCTAGTATGATGTCTAGGCACTCAGAGAAATAAATGCATGCCATGATTGCTCCAGTTCTGAGCCTACTCTCTCTCTCTCTCTCTCTCTTTTTTTTTTTTTTTTGTTTTTTTGAGACAGGGTCTCCCTGTAGCTCCAGCTGGCCTGGAACTCTCTATGTAGACCAGGCTGGCTTCGAATTCAAAGATCTGCCTGCCTCTGCCTCCCAAGTGCTGGGATTAAAGGTGTGCAGCACCACGCCTGCCACCTCTGAATTTTTTTAAAAATTAGCATGCAAAATAATAGGTTTGCTTATGGCAATTAATTTTTACATGTGAGCATTTTGCCTGCATATAAGTGCACCTGTACATGCAGTGCACATGGAAGTCAGAAGAGGATGCCAGATCCCCTGGTACTAGAGTTAGAGATGGTTGTTAGTCGTCATGTGGGTGCTAAGAACTGAACCCTGGTCCGCTGCAAGAGCAGCAACTGCTCTTAACTGCGGAGCCATCTCTCTAGCCCCTGGTATGGCATTTTCATCCATATGTATTTTTGGTTGATCCTCCCTCCCCCATATTCTGGCCCCCTCCCACCTGCCCCCTTCTACCACCAGCATTCTCCTTTTCCACTTGGGTATCACATGTGTTCTGTCACCTTCCACCCTTTCTAACACCCCCCCACCCCCCATCCCCGGTGTTCCTCGCCACTCCATTTGTCCCTTTCTAGTTTTCTGGCCTGCCCACAGTCACTGCCACATAAATGCACATATAAAAATTAGAAGCTAGACTCTGTGAGAGAGAACATGCAATATTTGTCTTTCCAAGCCAGGGTTACCTCACTTAATATAGTATTTTCCAATTCCAATCATTTTTCCACTAAGTAATTTCATTTTTTATGGCCAAATAAAATTCCAATGTGTATATGTACTCATATTTTCATTGTCTGTTGATGGCCATCTAGACTGATTGTATCTGAAGTTAGATGTTACTTCCTAGGTGAGGCCCTCCCTGACCTTCCTCTGCAGGGTAGGCTCTAACTGCCATCACTCACCTCATTTGCCATCACAGTACTCAGTTTGGAGGGGTGGGACAGGCATGGTGCCTACCTTCACATGTAATGTCATTTAAGTGAGTTACCAGCATCCAGAATGTCCCTCCATGAAGGTGTAGCTTCTAGTCTTGTTCTGTCACATCATCAGCCCATTGGCAGGGCTTGGCTCATAGGCATGTGTGTAAGAGCACCCATGTCATGCAGTGCCCATGGAGGTCAGAAGAAGGTGTTGGATCCTCTGGAACTGGTGTTAC